TGGGAAGTTCACAGAAACTAGCCTGGAAGAGAAACCCCAAAGCAGGACTTTGGGATAAGGCTGGGGCGAGCAAGGGCAGGAAGGCACACTTCTGAGTCCTGCTTTGTGTATTCATGTATCATCTGAGTCTTTTCCAATGAGCAGGTATTGACGTATCCATTGTATAATTAAACTTTTTTAAAAGTGTCTTAAGACTCAGGTGGCACTGAGCTAGATGCCTCATGGAATAATGACATAGTATTATCCACAATCCAGAGATAATTTGCTCTGCCCTGAGTACGCCGAGTGGCTGTCATTCTCGGATAAGGGACCAAGACGCATAACCAAGTATTAGAAAAGAAGGTGATCTCATTCTTGCTGGTGAACGTGCACGTTTTATTCCTGCATTGATTCACAGTGTAAAACGAATCCGAAGGGACGGTCTCAGGCTCTAAGGCGCGGCTATCAGCTTACGTACTGTCTTCTACCTGCCTCTCACCTGGTTAAGTCATCTTCACAGGGCTGGCACCTTACACCCCCCCATCCCCCGGGCCGGTCATTCAGCAACGGGAATGGAGAGAATTGGGCTTTTTGTGAAACTGACCACACACCACACCATGTTGGGGCCCCCGAGGCTCGGGGCAGGCAGAGCCCAAGGCCTCCACCCAATGGCCGGGCTGGAAGGACAGCTCCTCCGAACACAGGAACTCAGGACTGACACTGGCAACATTCCATCTGGTTGTAAAAACAAAGCACCACTTTCTCTTCAGTAAACTTGGTGAAATTATTCTCCCTTTGAAAGAAGAAACCTCAGCCAAGCATACTTTTTACGGCTTTTTTTTTTTAAAAAAATACTGAAACAGAGATGTGGATCCAGCAAGGCCCAGCGCCCTGATCCTGGTTGCTCTCTTGCAAGGTAGCTCCCCAGAGTCTATCGTCCCCAACCCAAGGGCTGCATCTGTGGATGGCTGCTACATTACCTAGTTTTGTTCTTGTCTTTGTTTTTTAAGACAATGAACTTTTCATTCGAATGTTTGTTTTTTTTAAAGACTTTATTTGTATTTTATTTTATTATTACTATTTTTTAAAGATTTTATTTATTTATTTTGACAGAGAGACAGCGAGAGAGGGAACACAAGCAGGGGCAGAGGCAGAGGGAGAAGCAGGCTTCCTGCCGAGCGGGGAGCCTGACACAGGGCTCGATCCCAGGGCCCCGGGATCATGACCTGAGCCGAAGGCAGACGCTTAACGACTGAGCCACCCAGGCGCCCCTGTATTTTTTTTAAAGTAATCTCTACCCCCAACATAGGGCTCAAACTCACGACCCCAAGATCAAAAGTCGCATGCTCCACTGACTGAGCCAGCCAGGTGCCCCTCTCATGTTATTTTTAAGCCAAGTAAAAATTTCCAAGAGCAGGCTACACTCAAAAACAGAACACTTTTTAAAAAGAGAAGGCCCTTGGGCGCCTGGGTGGCTTAGTCAGTTGGGCATCTGCCTTTGGCTCAGGTCATGGTCCCGGGGTCCTGGGATCGAGCCCCGCATCGGGCTCCCTCCTCCGCGGGAGGCCTGCTTCTCCCTCTCCCACTCCCCCTGCTTGTGTTCCCTCTCTCGCTGTGTCTCTGTCAAATAAATAAATAAAATCTTAAAAATAAAATAAAGTAAAATAAAATAAAAAGAGACGACATGGTCACACACAGAACTGAAAAAGCAAAAGCAAGCAGCAGAGCCATGAGGCCCGGTGGGGAGACCTCATCTGGTTTGACAATCATTGCAGCTGGAAGCTGGAACAGCCCCTTCGGGTTGCAGGAAGCAGAGGATGGTGGTGATGAAAACGATAGTGATGGTGGAAATGGTGAGCAGGTGGAGCCTTCCTCCAGGCCCCATGGGAGCCCCCAGGCCTGGGGCCTCAGGCCAGAGCTGGGACAGGGCCAAGGGCCAGGTCCAGAAGGACTGCACTCTCGGAGCAAACACAATGTGTCCCAGCCAGGTGCAAACAGGATTTCCTATAGCCCCTTCCTGCACACCTCACTGCTGATGACTCTGCGGGCAGGTGTGACTCAGGAAGGTCCCCTAACTAAGGGCAAAGATAGGGAATTTCCTTAAAAAAAAAAAAAGCTGAGATTATTCTGCAGGAAAATTTAATGTTCTCCTCATTCCTTAGGGAACAAACACCCTAGAATAGAGAACATATAACCAGACTCTAAGATGAGACAGTTTGGCCACACTAAAAATACTACTTTACATTTCATGTTTCACAGTTTAGGAAAAGGTACTTCCCCTTTATTGTGGCCTTCGATCCTTCTGGCAATCCCGTATAGCACGGGACAGACAAGTTCTCAACCTCTAAAGAGACGAGGTTTTTCTCCTTTTTGCAATGGATGGCAACTCCAGCCACGTTGTAAGGCTGCCAGCATTGAAGATCGGGTTGAATGGGGCAGCACGCGAATCTCTCTGTACACGTCTTCTCTACGACAGAAATCAGGGCCCGAACGGGGGGCAGAATGGGGTGACATGCACTATGATCCCTCTTGTGTAGAGTGTGAAAGAAATGTCACCTAGCTCAGTGCTCAGTACACAGTGGGTGCTCAACAAGCTGTCCTACTATGCAGCCCCTGGGGGCCCAATCAGAGCCTTTCACATTAATATCTTAAATCACGCCGAAAGACAGTCACTGACTTCCCCTTCCGAAGAGCAGTCTGGCCGTCACTTCCCTGGACAGGCCCCAGGAATGGAGCCTGGCCGCCTCCTGCCCAGCGCTGGGCTGTGTCCCGCCAGGGCATGTTCTCCTTTCTCGGGAGGACCGAGCTCCGGGCTAGAGCTTGATTTCTGGACCCACTCTCCTCCATAACCATCCGGGCGACCTGGGCAGACCGAGGGAGCTCCCGAAGCTGTGGCTAGTGTCCCTAAGGTTAAGTGGACAAAGTGGGGGCCAAAATCCCTCTGACTTTGACCTTCGGTTACCCCGGGCCTAAGGAGGGGTCATCCAGTCCCCGGAAGGGCCGCACCCCTAAACTCCAACTCCAGGTACTTTCCAAATGTTCCCAGGTTTTGTTTGCCTCCCCCTCTCCCCCTAGAAGGAGGGCAGCAGGTGCGTTTAGCACAAAAAAAGCTGCAGCTGGAGAGAGGGTGGAGGCTCCTGCCTGTTATCAATGTGCCTAAAGCCAGTCATTCTTGACCTAGCCAGAAAGGGCCCTAGGTTTAGATAAGGCTGTCCTGCGGCCCCTGCCCCAAACACTGTCAGGAAAAAACCCTTCCCGACAACACCTGAGCTCTGATAAAGGTTCCTCTCAGAAATGCTCTTTCACTGTCAGCCATTCTGGAACTACCTTTTCTGGTCGCCCCAAGGGCACAAAAATTCAAATTATCTACTTCGCTGGTTCCCTTCCTGTAGATCCCTCTAAAATTCCAGGGAGCTTATTCAGAGCTAGGGGCTGCTAGTAAAAAACCCTGGTTAACTTGGGAGAGTTTACAAATGCTCACTGTTCTCAGGTCAGTAATTTGTGACATTCTGGTTTCGTGTTCCATAGCGAAAGTCTATTTTATAGACACCTCAAATTTGTCCATCTCATCTCTGCATCCGCCCCTCCCACCCTCAACCACTTCCTCCAGCTCCAGACACAGAAGCTCCATTTGACCTTGTGTTCGAGTCGGGAGATGCGGCAAAGTGCCCTAGACGCCTCTTCTCCCACCCACGCACAGGCACCCCACCACTGCCGTGCCCCCCGCCCATGCCTCAAGCTTCCCACCCCAGGGCCTGCAGCGGCCTTTCTCAGCAGGGCCTTTGAGCCAAGTAGGACAGTCCCTCCTCGATGGTTCCCTAAGCTCCAAGCCTTGGCTCAGGCTGCCTCCCCAACTTCACCTCCCTGAGTTTCCCCTCAACTGGCCCCCTTGCTGTCCCTCCACACTCTACACGTGCTCCTGCCTCAGGCCCTTTGCACTTCCGGCTTCTCCTTCCTGGAATGCTACCAGACCTGCCTCATTCACACCCAAGTCCCCAGTTTCCGAGGTCCCTTTCCAGAGAGGCCTTCTCTGACCAGCTGCAGAGAGTGACCCCATCACTGCCTCCTCACCCTACTTGCCTCTCAGAACACAGTCTCTCCTGGTCTCTCTCCCTTAGCAGTCTCTTTATAGCTTCATAGTTTATCAAAATCTGGTTATATGTCTGCATTTTAAAAAAAATTATCTGCCTTGCTTCCCAGTCCAGGGGTCAGCAAAGCGCAGCCTGAGGGCCAAATCCCCACAGCTGCCTGGTTTTGTAAATTTTGTTGGAACACAACCATGATTATTGCCTAACGTGTGTCTTGTCTGCTGCTTTGGTGCTACAAGGCCCGTCGAGTAGTTATGACAGAGACTTGATGGCCCACGTTTAAAATAGTTACCAGCTGGCCTTTCCACAAAGTTTGCTGACATTTGTTGTTTGCCAGAGGAGGGAAGGGGGAAAAGAAACAGGAGAAAGGAAGCAAAGATAACATGCGATGAGGTTGTTTAGCTGAGAGTTTTACTTAGTAGCTCAGCTCCGTGTTCTGAAGCCTTAACCCTACTCCACCCCTTTGGAGATGTAGCAGTCACTCGTCAGGAGATAAAACGGCCCAGGGACTCTCCTGGTTTCTGTGAACAACCAGGGGTCATTCTTGCTCAGGTCCAGCTGGATCCCAGGTCAAGTACCGTTCTTGGGCGGGGTCTCCTCAGTGACAGGTTGGCGGCCAGTGGCTCCAGGCTCCCTGCCGGTCCTCTCAGCCACTCAGCAGACAGAACGCCCCCAGCAGGCACAGCAGAGGCCCCAGGATGGAGTTACATGCACTAGCAGGTCTCACCCAGGTCACGTGGGCAGGGACAGAGTGGGGCTCTGGCTGGTGGGCTCGGGCTGCATGCGCGGCAGCCCCTAGGGTCTGTTACCCAGAGAAGGGAAAACAGAGGCTGGGCCAGCCTCGAAAGGTTTTCCCTTCCATCTGAGGACCCTTTCTGCAATGGGAAAAGGAACTGGTCTACAAAAATTCACTATGACAGGCAACTTCACTGGTATTTTATTTTTTTTTAAAGATTTTATTTATTTATTTAATTGACAGAGAGACAGCGACAGAGGGAACACAAGCAGGGGGAGTGGGAGAGGGAGAAGCAGGCTTCTGGTAGAGCAGGGAGCCCGATGCAGGGGCTCGATCCCAGGACCCCGGGATCATGACCTGAGCCGAAGGCAGGTGCTTAACCCACTGAGCCACCCAGGAGCCCCTTCATTGGTATTTTTAACAGCACATTATTCAAATGAGAGAAAATCACAAGCTTCTTAAATCTCTGCCTTTACGCTTTTCCTCCTTGCTGTGTCTAATGTGTTCACTGCTAGTCTATCTCAGTAGCTCTATCAACAGTTAACAGATGCAAGTGAGGCTGATCATGAATTTGGTTTCACACATACCAACAAGGGGAAACCAGCGATAAACAAAGTAACAATTGGTAGTTTGCTAAATGCCATTTGCTCTGCCATCAAGGTTCAGGACCGTGGGGACCTGGGCACAGGCAGGGAAACTCTGCACGGGAACCGCACGTTTTGCTTCAAGCGAACGTGGTGAGAATGATTACAAACGGCCTGTTTCTCTACTTCTGATCAAAGCTGTCCGCTCTAATCTTTAAGAACGAGCGGGGCCTTCACTTGGTCAGCCGCGTCCTTGCCGTTCAGCGCCTCGACGATCGCGAGAGCGAACTCAAAGCTGGTTCCAGGCCCGCGGCTCGTGAGGATCAGGCCGTCTCTCTCCACACGGTTCTCGGAGTAGCTGTAATGACCTTCAAAGTCGGAACGAGAAAGGGTTACATCCCAATGGGCTCTGCCGGACAACAGCGAGTACCACTCAGCAACCCCATGCCCTGATACAGCAGAGGATCGGTCTCACACAGATTCAAACAAACCCAAACCCCAAAACCACCACACTGTGGCCGGCCACCGGGAAACCACCGGGAGGCACAGCGCGGGCAGCCGGGGGGGGCGAGGACGCCCAGCTGCTGACGTGACACACATCAATACACGCGGGGTAAAGGCACCTGCGAAAGACCTCCTCCGTGTGAGGCTGAGTGGGAAGGCAGGCCGGCCATTCACAGTTCTGTCATCCACGAGGGCTCAAGGGGCCGCCCGTACACTGACACATGGACGGGTAAAGCAGAACGTGCCCCCCAAAACGTGCCGCCTCGCTAGGGCGATTATTTTGAGCTGAAGACATCTGCAAAACAGCCAATGCTAGGAGAGGCTTTCTTTGAAGCCCCCTCTCCTGCCTGAAGACAGGTCCTCCTCGGCTACCGTGTGCCCTCGGGGGTCCATCAACCGGGGAGGACGGACTCGTGTCCCGGGAGAGGAGACCACAGGTGCACACCACACCCAGACTGTCACAAACGATCACACCTCCCATCTGTTCTCCCGAGGGCCCCTTCATCTTTCCTGAAAACCAGTTATTCTCTCCTGAGAGGCCGACCTTCCCTTCCCCTTCTCTACAGACTGCCTGTCACGCAGACTCCATGTCAGAGACTGCCTGCCATGCAAACTTTCTATCATACAGACTCCGTGTCACAGACCGCCTGTCACACAGACTCCCTCACAGACTACCCGTCACACAGACTTCTATCAC